CGCATACAGACACTACTAACTGACGTGCTAAAGCACAGTATAGATCTAGACCCATGGACGGTTCTACTGTCCAAACCCATAGACGGCCTCCCTAGAAAAGAACAACAGCTCTACAATAAAATCACTCTAGCGGCCAGAAGGGCTCTAGCCCAGGCGTGGCTTAAACCCACATTACCTACAGACGACGACGTGATAGCTAAAGTTAAAGACACACACTTGATGGACAAACTCACAGCCCAAATTAGGAACACGGAGAAAACATTTCATAAAATATGGCAACCTTGGGAAGACTTTCTCGACGACTAAATCCTACAGAAGCAGGATAAGGACAGAGGCCTCGGAAAGGCCTAGATCCGCCGCACGCCCCAGCGAACAGCGCTCCCCTTCCCTCCCCCCCGTCCCACCTTTAGACAGGGGAATAAGGGGAAGAGGCACCAGGCAGAGCCCACACAAATCCCAAACCAACCAGTTACACCGCACCTACAAACTAGTATTACGGTTACAAAGCACAGCACAATGACCACTGACAAAGCACGACCCGTCACTAGGGGCCCTCCATGCAGCCACCCACAGCCACAAGAAACGATGACAAGGCACCGCCATCCGCGCCCACAATAGACCCCGACTTGGGATGGCTCATAGGACGGACCGATATTGAGTATAACCAACGGACGCAACTCCAAACCGACAGCACAACCACCATGACACGACGCAGACGGTCACATGACATAGCTCAGAGCACCTAACCGACAACACAACAATCAGTACCGCCGCACGCAGAACAGCGGAAAAAAGACTTAATATACTCAATGTGAGTCGGTTTGAAAGCGCTGTGAAACCCTTAGTAAATACCCAGAGATTATTGTATCCAGCCTTCTTATGTGGCACCGTTGTGCTCCTCGTTTTCTTTTTTCTTTGTTTTTTTTGTGTTGTTTGTACTTTTTGTATATTTTGTATTTTCTATACGGGCAAACACTGCCCCCCAAAAACCGACACAGAGCGGCAAAAACCAATGTCTCCTAACTGATTAAACACTTAACCACTGTTGAAAGCTAAGTAACACTGTTTTGTGATCGGCCCCTGCGTGAGCCACTGTATTTTGCTATGCTGCATTCTGTGTCAAATCAAAAATAAAGAATTAAAAAAAAAAAAAAAATACATAATTCTTATTATATTACACAGAACCCCCACATTTAACCTATCCCCAGATAGCTCGGATCTTAGCGCCCAATCTAGGTGAACAGCGTTCAGATCCCATGAACAGAGTAAATTTGCCATGGGGTAAAGCATACCAAGGGCTGTTGAGAAACCAAGGAGGGACAAAAACAGTCAGTTCCAGCTGGTTTGGCAGTGTGCCTGGGACAACGCCCTGCTGGAGAACAATAGACAGGAAACGGGGGAGGGGAAGAGACACACCTTCCCATGGATTCAAATGGGCAGAAACAGTCGTTAGAAGCCAATAAGCCCCAAATAGTCTTTTTAAATGGCACTACACCCCAGGGCCATAGTCATGAGGAAGGAGGCTGGTAATCAGGCTCCTCCAACAGCCGGGGGCAAAGGGCAGCTTGTCACCTAACAATCCAGTGACAAAAGGCATTTCGTCACATAAGGTATGTGCCGAGGGGCCCAACTAGAAAATGCATTACAACTTTAAGACAGCTAACAATTACTAAGAAAACAAAGTTGCAGACACCATGTGATTTCAGCAGCCAATCAACGTTTGTGATTTGCAGAGTGGCTCCCAGCCACTTAAGTTTAGAGACAAATAAAAGGAGTCAGGACATACATAGAAGTGGTAAGGAGGGGGATGCGAAGTGACACAAAAAGGGTTACACTGACATACACTCACCCCTCTGTCAGTCCTTACATTGGCTTCCTGTATCCTATAGGAGTCAATACAAAGTGCTAACCCATATCTATAAAGCACTGAACAATTCTAGCCCCTCTTATATCTCTTTACAGATCCATAGGTATGCCCCTACTCGGTCTCTCCGCTCTGCACCTGACCTTCTCCTGTCCGCTGCACGCATCCGTTCGGCAGACTCACGCTTGCAGGACTTCTCGTGGGCGGGTCCCTTCTTATTGAATAGCCTGCCTACGGCCATCGGACCCTCCTCTATTCTTCAATCGTTTAAGAAGTGCCTTAAAGCCATCTCTTTAGGAAAGCCTATGGCCTCACAGAGTAACCTCTACCTCACATACCTGTCTCTTACTCTCTCTTAAAGGGCAGCACTCTACTATCTCCTCCAGCTCTGCTTCACTCCCACCTTATTTGATTGCTATTTCCTGTCCTAATGTGTTTTATACCCCACCTCCTACAGACTGTAAGCTCGTTTGAGCAGGGTCCTCTTCAACCTATCGTTCCTGTAAGTTTTCTTGTAATTGTCCTATTTATAGTTAAATCCTCCCTCTAATAATATTGTAAAGCGCTACAGAATCTGTTGGCGCTATATAAATGGCAATAATAATAATAATAAAAACAAAATTATAATTATATATAAGGAGGTAGGAAAGAGTTGTCAGAATCCAAAAATTAAGATTTTTATTTAGGGCAATAGTAAAAAAGTATTATTTATCATTATAGTATGTTAAAATTACAATCTGCTACTTAAAAATTAATAAAGACATCAGATGGGATAAATGGACCTGTCAGCTGCCCACATTTTACATTTCTTAGTTCCGAACCTTGAATGTACTAAGGGTTAAGCTATTTGGAAAAAAGAAACGAAAGTCCAGAACAGCTTTGTATGTTATTATAGTACAGGATTATGACATGAGGTATGTGATACTAGGTGAAATTAATGTTTTAAATACTTCCTGGTCTCGCCGTACAACAGATATATACTTTGTTAAAAACATGTTCTGGATTTCTTCCATTGGTTTAATGCCAGTAAGTCTGTGGTCTGATGCAATTCACAAACATTGATAAAAATAAACTTTGAAATGTCTAGAAAAAGAAGAAATAAAATACATAAATTAATAAAATAAAAACATTTTTCTTACGTCCCATCAATTCTAAAGTATATACAGTATATGTCTGAAACAGCAGGTCTGAAACTTTGGCGATGTGCATTTTGATGCAATTCACCAATTAAAGTTTTTTTATTTTTGACTTAGAAGTCCTGTGAGTGCTCACTTTCATATATTTTTTTTGTTATATATATTGTTCCACAGTAGCAGCACCAACGTATAGTTAAATTGTAAAAGCATATCATTTTTCATTAAAAGCAACATGGAAAAGGTGAGTGCCTTCATATCCATGGTTTATATAGATAAAGTAATACAAGTATGGTAGTATTGTTTACACCCTACCCTTAGCTTGCACATTATAAAGAAATATTTTTATAAATTTTTTCTTTTACTTATATTTATTTTTAAATTTGGATGTTATGTTCACTATTATAACCTTTACTTCAGGTAGCCCACATGAAGAATTGGTCTGCCCCAGGACCTGACGTGATCCACACCTACTGGATAAGGAAACGAACAGTGCTGCATGAACACACAGCAGCACAAATGAACCAGTTACTAGCAACATTCTTCAACCCTGACTGGCTAACACAAGGCAAAACAATACTGGTCATGAAGGACCATCAGAATGGAAAAACATAATCTAACAGACAGGGCCGGACTGGGAGAAAAATTCGGCCCAGGCATTTTTTTAACACAGTGGCCCACTAAGAAGGGGGCGGGGCATAGGAGGTGTGTTTTGTCATCACCAATGACAAACACGCCCCCTCTCAAAGTGAGCATGTTGGTTCAATGCTCTTCCAGGGCAGACCATGCGCAGAGCTCTGCTGAAGAGCTCTAGCATGAGAAAAAAGCTCTGTATTTGTTCTGCACAGTGCAAGCAAATTTAATAACATGCTTGCACTGTGTTTCCTTGTCTCTGGTGTCTCTATAAATGGATACCAGGAGACAAAAGGGCTAGGAAAGGGTATTGTGCATGTGTTTGGAGCCTGCTTGTGGTATTGCGTGTGTGTAGAGTGAGCTGATTGTGGTGTGGTATTGTGTAATAAGGTTGGTTTTAGTCATGTTGTGTTTGTGGTGTAAAGTGGTGTAATGTGATGCATATGTGGCTATGGGCTGTAAAGAATGTGTGTATTGGGGATATAGCAAGTGTGTGCATACAGGCTATAGTGTGTGTGTATAGGGGATCCAGAGTGTGTGTGTGTGTGTGTATATATATATATATATATTTGGAAGTATTGTGTATGTGTGTTGGGGGGGTTCTGTGTGTGTGTGAGGGGTGCAGTATGTGTGTGTGAGAGTGCCGTGTGTGTGATGGGTGTGAGAGTGCTGTGTGAGAGAGTGCTGTGTGTGATGGGTGTGAGAGTGCTGTGTGTGAGAGAGTGCTGTGTGTGATGGGTGTGAGAGTGCTGTGTGAGAGAGTGATGTGTGTGAGAGTGCTGCATGTGAGAGAGTGCTGTGTGTGATGGGTGTGAGAGAGTGCTGTGTGATGGGTGAGAGAGTGCTGTGTGATGAGAGAGTGCTGTGTGTGATGGGTGTGAGAGTGCTGTGTGTGATGGGTGAGAGTGCTGTGTGTGATGGGTGAGAGTGCTGTGTGTGAGAGTGCTGTGTGATGGGTGAGAGTGCTGTGTGTGTGAGTGAGTGCTGTGTGAGAGTGCTGTGTGTGATGGGTGAGAGAGCGCTGTGTGTGATGGGTGAGAGTGCTGCTGTGTGTGAGGAGTGCTGTGAGAGAGTGCTGTGTGTGTGATGGGAGAGAGTGCTGTGTGTGTGTGAGAGTGTGTGTGAGAGAGTGATGTGTGTGAGAGTGCTGTGTGTGAGAGTGCTGTGTGTGATGGGTGTGAGAGTGCTGTGAGAGAGAGTGCTGTGTGTGATGGGTGTGAGAGTGCTGTGTGTGATGGGTGTGAGAGTGCTGTGTGAGAGAGTGCTGTGTGTGATGGGTGTGAGAGTGCTGTGAGAGAGAGTGCTGTGTGTGATGGATGTGAGAGTGCTGTGTGAGAGAGTACTGTGTGTGATGGGTGTGAGAGTGCTGTATAAATGTTAGAATGGATTGTGTGTCTGTAGGGGGGTAAATAAAAACAAAAAAACAGGCATTAAATCCCCCCCTCCCTTCTTACCTTCAGCCTGGGAGGGGGGGGACCGGCACGCTGGGACTGGGTGGCAGTGTTCCCTGGTGGTCCTTGTGGGTGAGTGAACTCTAGCCCGCATAGCCTGTGGGGCTAGAGTTCACTCTCGCAAGATCTGGTCGTTGCCATGGCAATGCGCCGGATCTCGCGAGAGGAACCCAGCGGAGCTTCAAGTTAGAGCTCCGCCGGGTCCTCCTCTCCTGGCGGCTGTCTGTCTCCCTCCCTCTCTCCCCGCCGGTGGCCGCATTTGGGCCGGTGAGGGAGAGCTTTGATCTCCCCACTGGCCCGTCGTGGCAAACAGCGGGGCCGGCGCTAGGAGAGTGCCGGCCCTGCATAGACCGGCAGGGGAGATCCTGGGACCTCCCCTGCCGGCCTCGGCCCCACGGCCACCGCGGCCCACCGGGCATTTGCCCGGTGTGCCCGATGGCCAGTCCGGGCCTGCTAACAGACCAATTACCTGCCTCCCCACCACATGGAATGTCCTGTTAAGCATGCTAGTCTTCAAGATCCAAGGGCATATGTCAGTACATGAGCAATACTCAAATGGGAATTGAAAACAACACCAGAGGCTCAAAACATCAGGTAGACAAAGCAATCACATGGAATTCTAAGACCAGACAGACAAATCTGTGCACAGCCTAGACTGACTACACAAGAGCAAATGACACAATGCCACACACATGGAAACTGGAATGCTTGGCTCTATGCAAGGTTAACAAGAGAATAAGAGCCTTTATCAAGAGCTTGATGAGCAAGTGGAAAACAACTGTAGAAGCCAATTCTAAAGCAATAGCACAAGTGAACATCAAATGTGCAATATACCAAGGTGAAGAGGTATCCCGAATGCTGTTTTGCATAGGCTTTAACCCCCTTAGCCAGATCATCATAAAGAGTTGATACAGATAGAGGTTCAAGAGTGGAGTTACCATTAGCCACCAACGCTATAAGGACGACATCAAGTTGTATGCCAAGAATCAGTGGGACATTGAATCATTGATCCACCTATGTTCTACAGCCATGACATTATAATGTCCTTCAGACTAGATAAGTGTGGGCAGATAATAGCAAAAAGAGGGAAGATGATAAGGACAGAAGGAGTTCAAGTACCATACCGTCAAATAGGAGATGTAGAGAACAGAGAAGTACCAGGGATACCCCAAACACATGGCAGCCATGAGGAAGAGGCAAGGAGGATAGCAACATTCAAGTACCTCCAGAGAGTCAGACAGGTCCTGATGTCCTAGGTCAATGGAAAGAACAATATCTTAGCCTTCAAAACATATGCCCTAACAGTCATCAGGCACACAACTAGAATAATGACCCGGTCAAGAGAAGAGCTGGTCACCGTGGATGCCAAAACCAGGAAGCTACTCACAATGAATGGAGGATTTCACCTGAAATACAGCATACATAGACTCAACACCAGCCAGAATGAAGCAGGTTAGGACCTGATGAGTGCCAAGGCCACAGTGCTGGATGAAACACAGAGCATTCATAAGTACATCACGAAAATGTCTCCCAAAGATGAACTGCTTAGAGACAATGCGTGAGACAACAACAGATAAAGGATGCAGAAAAGGAGGAGGTTCTCACATTACAAAATCTAATGTGTCTCACATTACAAAATCCCACCAGTGGTTGGAATAAAGACAGCTCTAGTCCTAGCAGCTCTGGAACAGGTACTCATTACCCAATCAATAGAAGCAGGAACCTGCCACACCAGGCAAGACCCAAAGACCCAAGGTGCAGACTGTGCAAAGAGGACTCTGAGACATTCTAACACATAGTATCCGGCTGCAAGATGTTGGCAGAGACAGCATACACTGAGAGGCACAACCAAGTTGCTGGAATTGTGAACCAAAATATATTTTCATATATGGGATGCACCTGCCTAAATCCAGATTGAGATGGCACAAAAGATAGTTGAGAATGACAGGGCTAAGATCATGTGGGACTTTCAGATCCAGACAGACAAGCAAGTAGTGGCCAATCAACCTGACATTGTGGTGGTAGACAAGGAATGGAAAAATGCAGTGGCAGTAGATGTGGCAGTATCCAGTGACTATAACATCAGGAAGAAGGAACATGAGAAAGTGGACAAATACCAATGGCTGAAAGAGAACATAGGAAGGATGTGGAAATTGAAGGCAGCAGTAGTCCCAGTTATGTTAGGAGCACTTGGGGCTGTGAGGGGAATGACTTAAGCAGATTCCAGATGGGACATCTGAGATTGTTTCCAGAAGATTGAAGTTCTAGGAACAGCTAAGATACTGCGCAGAAGACTCCCCAGTCTCTGGTATAGGACCAGAGAAAATAAATAAATATATATATATATATATATATATATATATATATATATATATACACACATATATACAGTTGCAAGAAAAAGAATGTGAACCCTTTGGAATGATATGGATTTCTGCACAAATTGGTCATAAAATGTGATCTGATCATCATCTAAGTCACAACAATAGACAATCACAGTCTGCTTAAACTAATAACACACAAAGAATGAAATGTTGCCATGTTTTATTGAACACACCATGTAAACATTCACAGTGCAGGTGGAAAAAGTATGTGAACCCCTAGATTAATGACATCTCCAAGAGCTAATTGGAGTGCGATGTTAGCCAACTGGAGTCCAATCAATGAGATGAGATTGGAGGTGTTGGTTACAGCTGCCCTGCCCTATAAAAAACACACACCAGTTCTGGGTTTGCTTTTCACAAGAAGCATTGCCTGATATGAATGATGCCTTGCACAAAAGAGCTCTCAGAAGACCTACGATTAAGAATTGTTGACTTGCATAAAGCTGGAACGGGTTATAAAAGTATCTCCAAAAGCCTTGCTATTCATCAGTCCACGGTAAGACAAATTGTCTATAAATGGAGAAAGTTCAGCACTGCTGCTACTCTCCCTAGGAGTGGCCGTCCTGTAAAGATGACTGCAAGAGCACAGCGCAGACTGCTCAATGAGGTGAAGAAGATTCCTAGAGTGTCAGCTAAAGACTTACAAAAGTCACTGGCAAATGCTAACATCAGGGATGTTAGCGAATCTATAATACGTAAAACACTAAACAAGAATGGATTTCATGGGAGGATACCACAGAGGAAGCCATTGCTGTCCAAACAAAACATTGCTACACGTTTACAGTTTGCACAAGAGCACCTGGATGTTCCACAGCAGTACTGGCAAAATATTCTGTGGACTGATGAAACCAAAGTTGAGTGGTTTGGAAGAAACATACAACACTATGTGTGGCGAAAAAAAGGCACACACCAACATCAAAACCTCATCCCAACTGTGAAGTATGGTGGTGGGGGCATCATGGTTTGGGGCTGCTTTGCTTCGTCAGGGCCTGGACGGATTGCTATCCTCGAAGGAAAAATGAATTCCAAAGTTTATCAAGACATTTTGCAGGAGAACTTAAGGCCATCTGTCTACCAGCTGAAGCTCAACAGAAGATGGGTGTTGCAACAGGACAATGACCCAAAGCATAGAAGTAAATCAACAACAGAATGGCTTAGACAGAAGAAAATACGCCTTCTGAAGTGGCCCAGTCAGAGTCCTGACCTCAACCCGATTGAGATGCTGTGGCATGACCTCAAGAAAGCGATTCACACCAGACATCCCAAGAATATTGCTGAACAGAAACAGTTCTGTAAAGAGGAATGGTCAAGAATTACTCCTGACCGTTGTGCACGTCTGATCTGCAACTACAGGAAACATTTGGTTGAAGTTATTGCTGCCAAAGGAGGTTCAACCAGTTATTAAATCCAATGGTTCACATACTTTTTCCACCTGCACTGTGAATGTTTACATGGTGTGTTCAATAAAAACATGGCAACATTTCATTCTTTGTGTGTTATTAGTTTAAGCAGACTGTGATAGTCTATTGTTGTTACTTAGATGATGATCAGATCACATTTTATGACCAATTTGTGCAGAAATCCATATCATTCCAAAGGGTTCACATACTTTTTCTTGCAACTGTATATATATATATATATATATATATATATATATATACACACACCACCTGGGAGGGATGAGAAAATCTGTTTGTTTTGCATCATACAGTATTTTTCAGAATACATTTTGACTAGAAATTTTGGTAAAAAATATATAACAACCTGTATCATAATTAGAGAAAACTTTAGTTCATGTGTATATGGAATGTAGCATGTGAGTGTGTATATTAGGCATGTGCATGGGAAAAATTTTAGTTTCGGTTCGGCATTCCGAAATTAGGGAATTCGGCACTTCGGCAACTTTGGCACTTCGGAAATTCGGTAATTTCAGAACTTCGGGACCTTGGCAATTCGGCACTTAGACACTTCGGAATTTCGGAACTTCTCTTGCAGCCGCTTGGTAGATAACTACCTAATTCCCACGGTATTAGGGAGTTATCTACCAAAATGTACTAAAACTAAGTAAAAATTATTTAGTATTAGTAAATTGTGCACCTACTCGCTAAACCGCGAATAGGGGCATGTCTATTAAACAGTGAGCAGCCAGTGGCTGCTCACTGTTAAAAAAATTTTTTTCTTAAAAATGGGTCCCCCCTCCCGAGTCGCAAGTGGGGGCTTTTAAGCTAAAGGGGGGCCTATTGCCCCCCCTAGCCCCCACCACTGAGCGGTGGGTGGGGGCCCTAAAGTTAAATAATGGGGGGGAACATATTGCCCCCCCGGCCCCCACCCCTGAGCGGCGGATGGGTGCCCTAAAGTAAAATAATGGGGGGGACCTATTGTCCTTCCCCCCAACCCCCACCCCTGAGCGGCGGGTGGGGGCCCTAAAGTAAAATAATGGGAGGGGGACCTATTGTCCTCCCCCCGGCCCCCACCCCTGAGCGGCGGATGGGGACCTGTTGTCCTCCACCCTGCCCTCACCCCTGAGCGGTGGGTGGGGACCCTAAATTAGAATGAGGGGGGACCTAATGTCCTCCCCCTGGCCCCCACCCCTCAGCAGTGGGTGAGGGCCCTAAAAACTAATTGGGGGGGGACCTAATGTAATCCCCCCTGGCCCTCACCCCTGAGCAATGGGTGGGGGCCCTAAATTAGAATGAGGGGGGGACCTAATGTCCTCCCCCTGGCCCCCACCCCTCAGCAGTGGGTGAGGGCCCTAAAAACTAATTGGGGGGGACCTAATGTCCTCCCCCCGGCCTCCCCCCGAGCGGTGGGTGGGGGCCCTAAAATACTAATTAGGTGGGGACCT